GACCACTGTGCAGGACTTGTATATGTCATTCCCAAGACGAATTGACGCTGTATTGGCCGCAAAAGGAGGCCCTACACCATACTGATAAATTATTGTGGTCTAAAACCAGGTGTTTGAGTTTCATTGTCCAACCCCTGTATATGGGTTTCACTGTTCTAATTACATTACTGACATAATTAACTTTTTGATTATATTGTAATTTGCTGGGCTGTATGTGGTGCTGTTACTTTAAGCCGTCCTTTCATCTGTGGTTCAAGCAGATGGTTCATAAAAGCAGATAGCGGGCCTGTAATACGTCACGCCCTCAATTGCTTTTTTTTCTCATAAACATAGCTGAGCCATGAACGCACTGTCCTCCTTTCTTTGAACGCACCACTTGATCACCGCCGGTAGCTGAGCGCCCCTCGTCGAAACGCAGCGTCGGACACGTTGACCAGCGACGCACAAAGATCAGGCAGGAGAAGAAAGGACGCATGCCTTTATTTACCGAGATATGTTAGTTTTATGTATATTTTCAACGGAATAACTTGTCTTCGTGCCTCCGAGCGGCCGCTCTCCCCCATGAAGCGGCATAGGAGCGTTATATAAGGCGGATAACGGTCCGAGATGAGAGCGCGTCTCTGACAGCGTAGCGGCAACAATAGCCTGGCCCCGGGCCGCGTGTTCCTGTGTGTGCGCTTGGTTTCAACCCGCTAACACCACCGCCGCCAATGCTGCTCCATCCACTGCGCTGCCCGTCTGATTTACTGTAAACTAGGCGGCTAACCTGCCGCGGATGATCCGTGTGCGCGGCGGAATGATGAGCAGAACGAACCTCCAAGATGACGCAGATGGGTCAGATTAACGCCACGAAATCCTTCCTGTAATTTGGCGTGGTTATAATCTCCATATAAATTTTAATTACCGCCTCTGGTCTGATCTGGCACTGAAGATTTTTCCATTAAAGAGTTCTAACCCCCAAAAATGGGCCCATGTCTCAATTTGGAAAACAAAGAATTAGGCGCCTGAAGAGGGGATAAGCTTATTAGATAAGCCTGCTGTGCTTTATTAAGTCAACAAGCCTGGTGAGCGGTCAGTCTGGACTCCCTCTGCCCCTCTGCTGGAGGCATCTCTCCCGGATTTTACCTTCTCTGTTGTCACAGCCACGCACCACGATGGGCAGCGATGCCGGGGGCGCCGGGCCGGTGGAAGTGGAGCCGATGCCGGGGTACTGGGAACTCATCACCAGTGGCTCCGGTGTCATGCTCGGCGCATGGAGAGACTGTAGCGACTGCGGTCTGGAGCTCTCCAAACAGACTCTCCTGGATAACGCATACATCACCTGGACCGAAATCGCCCTGTTTTTCTTTTGCGCCTTTTTGTGGACGATGATCAGGAAGGGGCTGACAGAAAGTCTGTTTAAGGTAGGTAAAACCTCCCGGATCCCACCTCCACCTCCACCATGCACACCACACACACTGCTTTACTCAAGGCTTCTTCCTCTAAGACGCACGGCTGCTGTGCGCCTCCAACATGCCAAGAAAAACACTATCGAGGGGAAGCATTGCTTGTGAGACACAGGTGGGGCACATGTTCAAACATACAGGCGGTAAAACAGACCTTGCCCTCTTCCCAGACATCTTAACTACAGTGTCAGAAAATATTAACCTGACTCACACAGGCGTTCAAAAAGCACAGCTGCTGCATTCACAGTCTGCTTTACTCTCTCTCTCTGGGTACTGTGAGTCATCCAAAATGGTAGGTTCAAGCTGGTCATTGAAGTGTGCGCCCATGTGTAGCTACTGTGGACATGCATGTGTGAAGAAATGGCTCACGGTTATCACAGCAGGGACACCCGCGGGAGGAAATGTTGGACATATTTACTCTTGTGTTGATTAAACGAGAATTATATAAGTAGTGGTGCGTTATGCGACACTTTGGTGGAAATGTAATGTCTTGCAAAAGTGTTCAGTTTCCCTTTCCTCTGTCAAATTGCAACACATACTTCAGTGAGTTTTCTGATACAGTGGTGCATAATTGTGAAGTGGCATGAAAATGATACGGTCAGTCATTTTCTACCGCTTATTCCATAGCGGGTCGCGGGGGAGCTGGTGCCTATCTCCAGCAGTCTATGGGCGGGGTACACCCTGGACAGGTGGCCAGTCCATCGCAGGGCAACACACAAACAACCATGCACACACCTAAGGGCAATTTAGAGTGGCAAATTAACCTAACATGCATGTCTTTGGACTGTGGGAGTACCGGGAATCGAACCCAGGACCTACTTGATGCAAGGCAACAGTGCTACCAACTGCGCCATCGTGCAGCCCTGCAAAGGATCCATTGCTTTCAAATTTATCCATTTATTTATTTTACAAAATCTGAAAAGTGTGGCATGCCTTTTTATTTAGCTCCCTTGCTGCAGTTATAGCTGCAAAACTGAAATTTCTCTGCATTCTTCTTCAAAATAGTTTTAGCTCTGTCACATTGGCTGGAAAGCATCTGTGAATAGAAATGTTCTAGTCTTGCACACATGATCTGAGTTGAATGTAGGTCTGGACTTTGACTGGGCAGCTTTGATCTAACCATTCCTCTGGCTGAAAGTTTAGGGTCATTGTCCTTCTGGTGTCATTAGCCATGGGTCTTTGTGTTTTGATAATACTTTGGATTATTATGGGTTGTGATTATTTTGGGGGTTCAATAGTTGACTATTTTGCTTCTCGTGTCTGATTACCTCACCAGTAGTTCCTAGCTACATAGTTTACTCCATTACTCGCCAGATCCTTTCCATGGCAGTTTACTATTGTTTTGCTGTTGCTCTGTCCATAATTCCACATTGTTCTGGCTATGCCTGATGTTTTGCTCCTGTTACTGTGGCGGCTTTTTCACAAACAAGAGAGACAAGAGGGTTCCTTTGACTGATGTTTACTGTGGTCTTGCATCTTTATTCTTCTTAGCACTTTACACCACAGGTACACCGTAGAACTGACGAAATATATAGATGATGTACAACATATTAGCTTACTTGTTTTAACTTACACAAAGTATACAATTTACGGAATACAGAATAAACATACCACTTTGGCCTGCTAGTGGACAAACCGGTGGACTTGAAAACACTTATTATCCGTCTTATTTTTTCTGAATTGGCACAAAATCGGGTCCGTTTGCGGAAACTATTTTCGAGCTTTTTTTTATATATATATATATATACCGGAAGTGACGTCACCGTGCTCTTAAACTGGACTTATCAAATTTACCATTAAGTTTTCACTCAGATATCAACTATTATTAAGTTTTACTCTCAGAAATGCTACAAACAATGTTGAAGATAAAAACAAAGCACCTAAAATAAACATGTTACCTGAACCTTCTCCATGGCATTAACAGCACCACAATTACATCTAGGGGTAAAAAATTGAACTAAAAGTAATTCCAACTGCTGTTACAGTTACTGTTTGGCCATTTTTGTAACTTTTTGGACATTTCCACTATGCGCCTGTGTTTGGGTGCTACATCAACACCTCAAAACATAACAGCTGGGAGATAACCCTCCACCCCAGCCTCACATTTTTTGCAGCCTCTAACAGATTTTCTTCCAGGATTACACTGTATTGAACACCATCCATCTTTTCATCAACCCTGACCAAGAAAAATCATCCCCACAGCATGATGCTGCCACCACCATAGTTCACAGTGGGGATGGTGTGTTCAGGGACAAGTGCAGAGTTAGTTTTTCACCATTTTCAACACTTTGAATGTTGGCCAAAAGTCCAATCTTAGCTTCCCCTGACCACAATATTTTTGCAGTTTCCCCTTCATGGCTTGTGGCAAATTGCAAAAGAAACCTCTTGTGGCTGTCTTCTTGCCACTCTTCCATAAAGGCCAGATTTGTTTAGTGCCCAACAAATGGTTGTCCCGTCAACAGTTTCTTCCACCTGATTTGTGGATTTCTGCAGCGACTCATTAGGTTAGTTCTGAAGGCAATCGGTTTCATTCATTTTACTGGATTTTTATTTAGGAGTATCAGAATAAAGGGAGCTGAATATAAATGTGTGCCACACCTTTTATAATTTACTTTAAAAAATGAAAACCACATAGCATTGGTCTATGAAATAAAATTACAATCAAAGTTTGTGGTTGTAATGTGACAAAATATGAAGGCTGCGAAAACTTTTGCAAAGCACTGTAACACTGTTACTATCACTTCTTTGGAAGAGTTGAGTTATATTCAATGCCATTCATGTGGATTTCTGGTCAGTGTAGGAGCAGCTGCTAACAAGTGCTCCACCATGCAGCCCACTTTTCACAATCTGTTATGAAAGAAATAATCATCTTTTTTATGTGAACTATAGAAATAAGACTGTATTTATGAAATACCCCACATCAAATATCCAAATCAACTCTTAGAATTGCATGAAACAAGTGAGAAGAACTGTCTTTCACCTAACTCTCTTTGTATTTTGCTCACATAAAAGCATACTGAGGTCGGTTACTTGAAGATTTCAAAACTAGTGATGGGTAAGGAGGTGGCTTTTTTGCAACATACATTTATTTAGAATTAGTGAAGCACTTTTGGAGGTTGTTCGTTGGAAACAGAGCTGCTGATTTTTAGCAGTAACCAATATTTCAGGTACCTAAGCAATCAAAGTGTTTCTTCATGCTAAAAAAAATCAAACACTATTCTAAGTCAAATCACATAATGCAGCTCGAAAACTATGGCGACATTAAGTCCTTGGAGATGTGCACTTACAGAACTGCAACAACACTAAAAGCAGCATTCTCACCCCAGTTTGTCTGTTAGAGACCACACACTCAGGTTGTGCTTGGGCAGGACTGGACCTCTGCCCAGATCTTCTGCATTCTCCTCCTCACCCATCCAAGTCCCATAGAGCCTCCCACCTCCTGCTGTTGGTTTATCCAGAGCAAGGTTCCTCTCTTCACAGAAATCCTGGATGTAGCATGTTATTCTGCCATCATCATGTGTGGTGGTAGAGTTTCTATATGTGGTCGATCCTACAGGGATGATGCTAGAGAGCACCATGCTGTATCTCCGGACTGAAAATACTCAGATGTTTCCCGTTTTCTCTATTACAGTATATAATCATGTCTTACCAGCACCTTATTATCAGACTGATCTGTGAGTGGTATCTAATACCCAAATGCAATTTGTTATTCAGTGCACGTCCACCTCCACATGGAGAGTGCTAATGTTAAAGATGAAGAGGTTTAGAGTAGGTCAGCCATGCGGAGCTAATTCAGTTTAAGTCTCGCTGTTATACACTGTCAAACCAAAGTGGGTTGTCAGGGATGCAGAAGTCCATTGTTTGTGGTCTTATTTGTTCAGAGCACATCCTATTAGCAAGAAACAAAACCAGATTGTTTCCCATAAAGCAGATTGTCAAGTAAGCATCTGTGTGTTTAATAGCTGCTCAGTAAAGGTGGATGGTGGGATTTTTTACTATACTGACATGTGCTGTTGCCATGGTTTCTTAAATGGAATAAAGTGAGCACATTTAATTACAACAGTAATGATTATGTATGAGCTCATTAGAATCTATAATTACTCACTGATAACTTGGACATGAGTTGGCAAAATACTGGCTACTTTTTGAGTAAATGCAAACATTTGGTTGATAATTTTTAGGTTAATTAATTAATTAATAAACAAAAAATCAGTTTGACCTTTTTATCAAAACTAGACTTATTAACCCTACACTGAATGAACTGAATTTTAAAAGAATAGTGGACATTATTAAATAAACTATTATTCAAAACTACTATGTTATTAAAATTGGCTTTATTTAAGTTGATCACAGTGTGTAGGAACTTTTATTTAGTAATGATTCACTTCCTGTGTCCATGTGGTATACATGTAAGTGACACAGAGGTCCATTAGTCACTCTTCAAAATGGGAAAGATAAGGGAACCTGTCATTAAACTGACATAAATGTGAGTTTGGCTAAGAAAATCATTACTCCACCATGCAAGAAAATTTGATGGGCAATAAATCAGTCTAATAACAAAAAAACTTAATAAAAAAATGTCAGAATCAAATTTTAACTTTGCTTCTACACTAACATAAACTGAATAATAAAACCTATTAAGGTATTACCTTAATTATGATATAATACTGCTATAATATTAAACTTACAGAACCCTGCACTTTTATTGGCAATAGTTAGGTCGATCAGATTTTCTTAGAACCTTTAAATGTTTCCGTAGGATGTAAGTATGACATGACACAGGGGCCCATTTCTCCTAATCACCTTTGGGAAATGGGAAAGACAGGAGAACATGCAGTTGAAACAATATAAATTTATGGTGAGTCAGAAAACGGTAAAAAAAAAGAAAAAAGAGCTACTTCCCTCTGTGCAGCCTTCAAAATGGGAAAGACAAGAGAACATGTCATTCAATTGAAGCAGATTTGTGTTGGCCTCAAGAAAATAGCTTCAAGGCCAAAATTTACCCATATCTACTCTGTCAACACAGAGTCGACCCACATCATGTACTGTAAGTTTTAATCTCCCCTACACAAGAAGTACTTTTCTCTGCTGGGTTTCTGACTCATCCTGACTTTTCTCAGTCAGGAGACGGACAGATTAACAGTAAAAGGAGACATGTAGACCAAAACATTTTGCCTTGTTTTAACTGGAAATATTTATATTCACAGCTAAGAAATCTAGTTAAATTTTAGGGTATATCATCAGCCTATTTAGGCACATTGGCCTTTTATGCCTCCAAGTCTTATTTATGATGGATGAACTCAATGCAAAGCAGTTCAAAAGCTTTCTCAAGTGGCATTGCTTTGACCCAAACATGGATGGTGTGCATTTAGGCCAGCCAAACGGGGCCTTCTGAATGTTGCTATCATTTTACACGTGACCAAGCTTATTTCTGTTGAGTGTGGTGGGGAGCAGCTCATTGGGGGTTGGTGCCGCTCCTGTTCAGAGTAGCGTGGGCCCAGAAAGGTGTTTCCAATTTGCTTTGATGCCTGACTGCATGAGCCACAGCAGCACACATCTAGGTTAGATTAACTTCTTTTAAAAGCCACTGTTATGTAAGATTACCGTGTATCCTCGTCATGTTTTGCCTCGTCTATTGGCAACGCTGTAACACTGGCAGTTTAAAGAAAAGTAAATGTGGTTTTTAAGATAAGAGGTGAAAAGCAATGCTGAGGAACAAGCATGTAAATGTCACACTTGCAGTTCCCAGGCATGACTCCTTCCTCATTTTTGTTTTGGCTCTATTCTGTACAAACACTTTAGAGAAGGCTTCTGCAGCTTTGATAGGTTAAGTTTTGCTTGCATGGTGCAACTGA